TCAAGCACGTGAAGAAATCCATTGCAGTGAGCATCAACAAGATGGTCAAGCTCTGGGTCAGCTTCATCAATGGTCCATGGTTGTGTGGGCGACACAATAGGGTCATCCAGCTTTTCAACTCTGTTCGTACAAATGACGCTCAGCGTTCCCAGAGCTGCAGTACCAAATCGAAGTCCAAGATCTCCATCTGACAACTCATTCCACCCAATGCACCTTGGGAGATCATGACCATCTCGTACCAGTTTGAGCAAGTCCACATGATGTGCCTCAAGCTGGCAATCCTTGTTCACAGGGGTCGGCCTGGGCCCCTTGTGACCACCCTTTGGAGGATGAGTGAGAAGGGCATTGAGCAGCTGATCAAAGATATTGGTTTCTTCTTTCACATTGATTGGGATGAGTGCAGCGTCATCACAGAAGCGGATCAGGGTATGTCCAACAAGCCAAGGTTGCCAAGTCCCAATGCTAGGGATCGCTTTGGCTGCAAAATCAGCAATTGGTTGAAGAACATACATATCGCCACATGTGCGTACAATGGCATTCCGGGATGTCAGCCTATCTTCCCAACACTGTCGGACAAGCGTCAACTTCGGCAACTGTTCATCCGAGACCCCTTCCACAGCAAAGAGAAGGGCTACCAAAGCATGGAGCTGCGAAATGGCATTCCCCAACTGAAGAAAGGCTCGTCTCACATCTGTTGGTAGCGCAATGCAATCAGAAGTCCCAAAAAGCGAAACAAAGACAAAAGGGTCGATGAATCGAAAGTCAGTTTCTTTGTGCAGCAGCGTAGCAAAGATGCCTTTCGCTTCAACATGCTCACGTTGTAGAAGGTGTTGCGCTGTGTAGGAGGCACACAAAGTGGGCAAGTAATCCCCTGGCTGAAGCACCCTTGAGGAAAGGACCTGAGCAGACGTCGCTGTCTCACCCACTCTGGTTCGCTTAGCTGGAGGTAACAAATTCTTGTCCCCATAGATCTCAATCAACTCATGCTGCAAAGTGAGGTCAGCGGATAAAGCTTTGGGCAAATCGAAAAGATGCTGTGCATCATCCCAAGCCAATCGTCGTTGAAGATTGCACATCATCTTCTCATGTGACTTCTGACACTTCACATCTCTGCGAGCCCATACTGCAAGCCATCTTGTCCTGTGGTTGCCAGTGAGTTGATGGATGGCAACGTCCTGCGACCATAGCTTGACATAACCTGCTAATTGGAGTCCAGCTGAGAGAGCACGCCAATGAGGATGTGCCTCAATACCATCCGAACATTCAAAAAGGGCCAATATAGGCCTGCAGCGTGCCACATGAAGGATTGCATCAAGGAAAAGGAATCCTTCCTCCGTAGCAAGCCCGGAGTTTTTGCCCCCTTTACTCCAGCTGGGGCATGGAGGGGACAATGTCATAACCAAGTTTGATTTGTTGGATGAAGCACGGAGGATTGACGGGTCACTAATGTTTGCCAGAATTCCATTGTACACATCAGTAGGATTGTAGGACTCCTTGACTGGACCGCACCAGAACTCTTTGTTGTGATTGTAAGCCCAAGTTCTCATGACTTCTGGGCACCAGTCTATTGAGGTGTGCGATGCAAAAGCCTGCCCAACATTGGCTTGTTGAAGCCAACTCATCGATCTCAACCAGCCTTCATATGCACCTGAGAATAGATGTGAGGCGTTCCATGCAACGTTCAAGCCCAGCATTGAAATGTTCCAAATCAAAACCTGTTCATCAGCGATCATCTTACCAACCCTAGATCTGTGAGATGGCTTTGTGAGGATGCCAAGAAACATGCCTGGTGTGAAGTCAACACGTGAGTGATCAGCTTGACAGCAAATCTCAAAATTTTCCCAACCGTCTTTGGCCAGCTTGTCGTCCTGGAAAAGCATGGAGGTTCTACGCACATGTACACACTGGGGCGGACCACCAAGCACATGCACAACCTCTCCAAAGAACACCCAATCTTCAACACAAGGATCACAACCGCCCGTGGCAGCTATGGCCATCAAGGCCTCCTGGACTGAGGTGGCCAAGCTCGAAGGCAAGCTCGCTATTGCCCAGTTGATCATCGTTCCTTCTGCCAGTGTCTCATTTGTTGAGCACATTCCCTTAGTGGCCATGGCGATCTCAGCCCTGGAGAGGGCTAAGTCTGTAGACGCTCCACCCCCACCAGAGAGGTGGGAAGCAAAGCCGCGGCCCTCGCGGGGGGGGCGTGAGCTGCCCGGCTTTGGGCCGAGACAGCTGGGGGGAGCTTCCTTGAAGAAGCGTGCGCTACCCTGCTAGTGGCTAGTTGACCTCACCCGGGCAAAGCAGACAACATCTTTGGAGAGTCTCCGGTTTGGACCTCAAGTTGTGCTTTGGCGAACACATCTGGCAGGAGTCACGGCAGAAGGACCCAGACAAGGACAGAATGAGGGAGTGAAACTGTGGTTTGGGGCCAGCAGTAGAAGTGAGGCTGGTAAAGGAAGCTTTACATTTTTGAGAGACCGCAAGTATTCAAGTAACAGGCGTGCAGGCGGGTGTGGAGAATAGGATTTCTTTAGACTCTAGACTGCTGTGATTCCATTGGGAAACCTTCCACAAGGTACGTCCCAACAGCCATTATTGCAGACACGGAAAAATTCAGTGGCCTTCTTTCAGGTTCACCCACCTTTTCTCAGACATGTTGTCTGCAAGTCCAAGAAATCCTAGAAACATATAGGTGCAGGGACACATCAGGGGTGGATATCCACAATACAATACTGAACTTTTGCAATCTATTATACTCAGTTTATGAGGAAGGCAAGAGTTTTGGCAGGTGCTGTGAGAGTCTACGGGCCCACTAAACGACCTGCACCGAAACATGTGCAGGTGACAGCCTCTCTACATCCTAACCTTCCGAATCTCCCAGCGGCCCCATAAATGGCAGTAGAAGTAAAGAGTTAGGAAAGTAAGGCCAGGAACCCCTAGTAGCTTCTTGTTACTACTAGTAAGGCACTTGTTACTAGAAGCGATGCACTTGTTCCTAATAGTAAAAGGTAAAGAGTTCTGGGGTTCCCAACATTGTTGCAGAAATGTGACATACTGGACTCACTGGCCAAATCATCTGCAATGCTTTCACTCTTCTCTCAGATCTTGACCCGCAGCGCAATCCAGATTTCTACATTTGGTTGTACCTTCCATTCAAGCTATCTAGACTTTCCCATCGTTGTTTCTTGGCCACCGGAAATTATTCTAGATGGCTAGGCATAGGCGGTTTCTCTAAGAAAAACCACCTATGCCTAGCCAGTCTGAGTACACCAGGTACCTTGCTATCCGGACTGTTCCCCGGCGCCCCTCGCTTTCATGGTCGACCAGCTCAAGAGGTGCTGCGACCCAACTTCCCTTATCGAAGGTGACAAGAATGCCAAGGTCCACCCATCTGAAAGTGGTTTTCTGGCTTCAAGATTTCTTTGATTTGAACAGCATACCGGATACCTGGACCATCCAAGGGCTGCCGATCGTGTACTCAGGGTAATACATTGCCCCTCTTGGATGATCTTGGTAATTCTAGTTCCACATAGCCCAGAGAGTTCCACACTGTCATGCGGAGACACGCCTGGAAACGATGGTCCACCGCACGACCAAGGGCTTCTGAAGGACATTGCCAAGACCACGCGTTGCACAGGTTGATCGATGCAGCTCACATGGCGGAGAGGATGATGGACGATGAACATCTCCAGCATCTCAGAGAATACACACCTTCTTAGAACATTTAGAGCCAGACGAGACCCACGCAAACACGAATCACTTGGAACCCAGGCGCCACCCTTTCTTGTCGGTGTGTGCCGCTGAATATCAACTCCTTACAGGCTGAAGATTGGCATACTGGCATACTGGACTTCTCTCCAGTGGACAGTCTCACCTCGGCTAAAGGGCGCGCCACTGGGGGTTCGTTCCGAAATCTGATCAGTGTCTCGTGTCTCAAAATGAGGGGGTTGAAAAACATTGAAAATCAGAACAATGACCTTTCGCCACTTCTCTTCACTCCACTATAACAGACGAGGGAGTTTGGAAGAGGCCACCACCAACAAACTATGTAAATCATACAAATGTTTAGGGCCTTTAAAGGGGGTACGTACTAAGCCCTTACTAAGCTCCGCAGCGAATCAGTTCCTGAAAGCACCTCTGGTGGACAAAGCATCCAGCCATTGCTCAAATAGAGAGCGATCAAAGTAGGTCTGCCCAAGAAGGGCGACCCGCGGCTTTCGGTGCAGATCGACAAACAGCAGTGTTCAGAAGCAGTTCTCATTTTGGGGGAAACCGGACAGTCTTCATGCAAGGGACAGTCTTTGGAAGGACTTGAAATTCGCCTGGCAGAAGCTGGACTGCGTCAGAGTTGTTGTGCTACACCATCAGCACTATGCAAATCATCAAGTCAGGGAATTGCCCCCAAGAAGTCCAGTGGTTTTGGGAGATTGGCGGCTCCCTTTGTCCCATCACTCTGATGGGGGATGCGTGCCTCCCAACTCCCAAATAGATACGCACATATATCATGTGTATGTATATATAATATATATATATATACACATACACTATATGTTAAATAAGAACCTATGTGGTTCCAAGTAAGGCCCAGAGAATCACAGCAAGACAGGTTTTGCACTCTGACATGCCAGCCGAGCCCCCACATGTTCATGTAGTTAGATAAGCGGCCACTGTGGTGTTGTCCGCTTTGTGCTTTTCACGTTCTTTGACGTGTTCTTATCGCTTTGTGGACAACACAGAGCATTGAACTCAATATTAACGTTGCACACCTTGGAGGTGCCATCGATTTCTTGTGTATTTTTGTCACTGCCACCGCCACCTAGCCATTCCTCAACAAAAAGGATGCCAAATGGGGCCTCAGGTGACATCTATATATATAACATATAATATATAATCATTGCTTTTGCTTGTAGCAGGATGTCCTTTTGACCTGTAGGTATTTGTAGGCTACCAAAGTGTTGGGTGGCTTGCCCTGACAACACGCTCTTAAACGCCGTTGGTAGGCGCTGCAGCAGCGGATCAAAGGCACCGGCATCACCGCGAGGCCGGTGGTTGAGTGCAGAGGAAGGATCGGAAGCCTCTCGCGAACCCAAAGAGAGGAGCTTGTGTCAAAGATTGTCGTTAAATTGGAGAACGAAGATCTAAGATGATTGAGAAGGTTGCAATAAACACTGTATAGATGTGATGTCAAGTCTAAACATGAGGAGAACCCACAACCCGTGTCAAGTCTAAACACTAGGGTCGATGTAGTTTTCACAACGACACCCATATGATATGTTCATGTGGTGCCATGGCCCAATGGCCCAGGAAGATCCATTGACCCGTGCCAACAAACACGCCAGAAAATGCCGGCCCAGCACAGGTCATACATTCGGGCTGGTGTACCCTGAATCAGAAAAAGAGCACAACCAGGGGGAGGAACTCAGAGGAATCCCGGACATGATACCAGCACTGGTGGCTGCCCATCCTTGCCCAGCTAGGTTCGTGGATGCCTCCTTCTGGTCTTCCGACTGCGCGGTCGGCTGCGGCTTTGGGGGTGGGTCGGCCAGGAGAAGTATGGATAAGGCTCTAGGTTTTGATGGTCTTTAGACATAATTGGTGTTCGTTGGTATGGTTTCTCAGCACATCGGCTGCTTTGCTCAGATCCAAATGAACAGCTTTGGACTTTTCTCGTTTTCCCATATCTCCTCCCTATACATGCACCGCTCGCGGTTTCAGATAGTGCTTGCTAAGTTGCCGAGTGCGGTGAGTGGCTTTGAAGTCAGTTTCGGAGGTTGAGAGCCCTGGTGAGGCCTTGCTAAGCAAGTGCTTGCTAGAGCCCTAAGCATTTGCTATGGGTGTGAAGCATGACATGTTTCCCAATAAGAATCGATACTGTAAAGGTCTTGTTTCTCTTCAGTCCCCGAAAAGGATCTGATCTTGAGCCACGGGGTGGCTCCATGTGTTGAGACGTGCTTTCCATTGTATCAGATGGGTCAAAGAAAAGGAAGTCCTATAACCACTTGGACAAGCTGCCAGGCAGAGCCAGGTATACATACTGTATTATATATATATATGTATAAATTGTATATACAATTGCTCTCTTGGAATGGAATGTGAAGAGGAATACACAACGCCCAGATCCAAAGAAAAAGGAGCCGAACATGGTGTCCTTGTTAGTCCGTACCTGGTGTCCTTGTTGTGGGGCCAGTCAGATCAGCCTCTGGCAGGTTTGCCAAGTGCCATTGGAACCGCCGGTGCTGGAAGACCAAGAAACCGCGATTCAAGTAGTAAGCCATGATCAAGTAGTTAGTAACTTGTCCTTTATCAGCTAGGATGTGCAAATAGAGTTCATCAGGTCTACTGTATCCATGTCTGTCCAATTCCCTGGGAGTAACACCCTAGGACTGTCTAGCTGACTATCCAGTTGAAGAGTTGAGTCGAGGAGTTGAACTCTTCGGATCATGAACCCCACGGTTGTGCACTGCGAAGTGGTAACCCTTTACGACTTGCACGTTCTTCAGTTCACGATAACCTCCCGCAGTCATGCGGGTTTGACGGAAAACCACAAGGGGCCGATTGGAAGATCCTACACTGTCCCACATTTGCTTGGATTTGGCATTATAGATGGGGCCAGATCAGTCACCTGGTCGATTTCCATGTCTGACTCAGGGATGGACAGTGTATGCTCAAGAAGGATTTTTGAGGCACACCCAGGTGTAAATAACTGTGTTGCCGGGGTGTGGCCGCACAGACCACAAGCTCTCGAAGGTGACCTTTGCAACATGAACCCATCAGCAAAGCCAGGATGATCAACAAGTCACATCGACCAGAAGTTCCAAAGGAGTGACCTTTGGACCCCTAAGTGAGTTGAGAAAGGAGCACTCCGTCCATGGCACTCCAATAAGCCTGAGTTTTTCTGAACCACTCTCTTTATTGCGACCAGGCCGCGCAGACCTACCGGCGGTCTCCGAAAGATCAGACAAGTGGCTGAGGCCCTTGGTGCTCATTGGAGACGCCTTAGCCGGAAAGCCCTTCTACACTGCCTGATACCTCAGCCACCAGTCACCGTTCACCCCAGTGCATCACCGAGCTGGATTGCCAAAACGGTTGAAGACTCAGGTCCCAAGGGTGGCGAAAAGGACTGAGCAGTCACAGTAGGCACCGGTCCTTCGATCTTCACCTCTCCTTGTTCTCTGTTTTCCGAATTGTTTCAAGGATATCGAAGGGTCTGCTGCCCGATTCCAAGTTAGGGATTCGGAATGATTCGGATGATTGTTATTTAGTCAAGGCCCTGTTTGTTTGGCAATGTTGCTGACTTTTGATGTTTTTGTGACCCTGGCAATTTCCTCTCCTAGCCTAGCCGACGAAAAAGTCAAGAGTCAACACCAAGAAGAGGGGTGACATCTACGTATGACGATGTCATGTTGGGTGGCAACAATTGATAGATCATCCTCACAGTTTTCATTCGAAATTACAAATGGCCCGATTTACCGCTCATAAGGGGCAAACATTGGATTTCCTGGTGGTCCACACAGAACCACATGTTTTTGAGGTAGTGAGACCACGAGCTCTTGGAGTCCACTGCACCACCGGTTTCCACCGGACCCAGGGCTCGACGCTGAACCGACACTTATGGGATGTGGCGCAGCTCATTGAGGAGGCAAATTTGGTGCAGAATCCTTGTTACTACTAGTAAGGCACTTGTTACTAGAAGCGATGCACTTGTTACTAGTAGCGTTCTTGCTCCTAGTAGTAAGGCCAGGAGCCCCTAGTAGCGTCCTTGCTCCTAGTAGCGATGCCCTTTGCTCCTAGTAGCGACGGGCTTGTTGATGGCTTGTTGGCTTGTTTAGATTTGTTTAAGAGTTTTTGTCCAAATATCATGACTTTTCCAGTAATGGTCCTTGAGTCCATTGTTAGACTCTGGCTGTTGGTGTTGTGTATCTACTCAGAAACCTTGGGACAAATCCCATGAAAACTATATAGCTTCATGAACTTACAGTATAGCATATGTTGTAAACCAAAACCTGCGACATGAACCAAGACTCTTGATCGGTACTATGGGAAACCCTCATGGATGATGGATGGTTGGCTGAGTGGATGCGGGTATTCATAGGCTTAGGTTGAGCATGAGCATCGTTTGCCGATGTCCTGATCTTTCCCGTGTGCAGGCCAAGGAGTTTCACAAGCAAGAACATATATACACAGCCTGCGCTTCACAAGCCGCAGGTGGAATTTGCCTATGATGGGGGACCCATAGATGTGGCACGCTTTGGGAGCTACGAGAAGCGCTACCAGGAGCCGCAGCATGGGAACCAAAGGACAAGACTTCGGTTTGGTTGTCAATGGCTGCTTGCACGTATAGACATTCTTTATCTTTGTTTGCAACCAATGCGCGCTTTCCAGGGACCAGGGTTAAAGTATTCATTCACATTCACAATTCCATAAGTGTGCGTGTACTGGGCATTTTGTGATCAGATTTACCCCCTCTTGGGCAATTTTTCACTTCCTCCGGAGAGAAGAAACTCCTCCAGGAGTGTGTGCGGCGGATTGGCGAGTTCCAGCGAAAGGCCTTAGCTTGAGCCTTCCGGGGACAGAACCTCCTTTGCAGAGGTCTGTAACCTCAAAGCAGTCTGTGTTTGAAGGGCCCAGGTTCTTAGGGTTGATGTATTATATTTTTAACAACAGAATTGCAACAAGACATGGGTCCACCCAAGAAGAGAATGATGAGATCACCATTGATATTTTTGCAAGATGCTTCTTGCGGAAATGACATTCTGACATGAAGCATTTCACCTACATAGAACAAGATCCCTGTCAAACAGGCTACTGTACGTACCGTAAGCCCGTTCGCACGGGCTGTTTTGCTAAGAGGTACTGTACCGGCTCGCACCCCCAGGGCATCCCCCACAGAGAAAATTGTAGTTTTCTAATGTTTTCTGGTTTAGCCGCGCCTTTGGTAACATGCACAGTTGAGGACTCGGGCAATGCGGAAAAAAAGATGCATTTTGCGATATTTACTAGTTTTTACCTCGGAGACGGGTCAACTTTTAGTTGAAGAAACGGTACACCAAGAATACACATAGTAGATATAGTAATTAGTTTTGAGCGTGCTTTTCCACGCCTTTCGGCAAATCCATAGCTGAGGGACTCGGACAATGCCGTAAAAAAGGAACATCAAATGACCATTTCTACCGCGCCTTAAGAGAAACTGTTCGATTTTTACCGTTTTTGCTGCACCTTTTGAATCAAACAATTAGCCGACAGACCCAGTCAAGACGGTAAACCGTGAAGTTTTTATTTTTTTGATTTCTTACCGTTTTCAGCGGATGTGCCTCGGGGTAACCCCGAACCCGAACAACAGAACAGTGCTAAACCAGGCATATCCCAGAATAATTACAAGGAGATATGGGGTCCGCCCACAAAGTACAAAATCTGTGAAGCTAAGAACACAAACACACAGAGGCACACGATACACATGGTCGTTTTGGTCCACCGGGTTTATTTGGACCAATGATTCAATGATAATTTTCATGCATACAGCATACATTAAGATTTGTTTGCACATGCAAAAGCACCTTGGTTGGACTTCATGATTGGAATCATCGGATCTCTCTCAATCGCACCGAGTTCAGCTCTTGATCTTCGAGAAGAGCTCCCATAGTACGGACCCACGTCCCATCCTGGCACCCTGATTGATCAACACCGATCTTGATGTTGACAGATTCACGGAGTCCGTTGAGACTTTGTGGGTGAGAGTTCGTCGGGTAGCTGATGCGACCCGACAAGAATAAATACTAGCCACCAGAGATGTCGTCACTTCTCTCTTATCCAGATGATGAGTTGAATATCACAGCCCTGCCTCAAAGCAAACGCTCGCTTGTTCGTATCCTAAGTTCAACGACTTTGCTTTTTTGGTGCAATTTGGGACGAGAGGTACCCATCCACATGCCACATGGTGGGACAAGCAGTCACCCACCAATCATCTGGTCTTTTGCCAGGCACGGATGCCCTGGCCGTCCATGCCTGCCTTGCGCGAGGGGCGTGAGGGGCGGGGTGCCCTGGAAGATCCCAGGTGCCCTGGTTGATGGCTTTGTCTCAGAGACCTGGGAGTAACACCCAGTTTTCTGGGATCTCATTTCCAGTCAGATCAAGAGCTAATCGGAAACGATTCATGTTTCCCAGTTTTAGGGTTTCAGAGTTTCAGGAAACATTGTCGAGAAAGGATTCTTTGGAGTTGGTCATGGTAACAGGGCAGAGCTTGGACCCACATGCGGATGAAGAGCCAGTGCTTGCTTGGTGAAAGAGGCAGCTGGCAGCTGATAGGTTGCTTAGAAGACAGCTGGCTATCTTCTATCGCAGCGTAGCCTATGATGATTTATGATGACTGCATAAGGGAACCCTTTCAACAGTAAAGCCTCCCAACGAAAATTGCCAAAGACATGGACAGATATCATATATTTGTTTCACTCATGTTCACTATAAGATGAACACTCTGAGACCACCTATTCCAATGGCGAAGGAATCCGGGCAACTTGCGTTGGATTTGATGGCACTTGCGTTGGCCGCGAATAAACAGCCAAGGCCGCCAGAACGACGCCAGGACGGGTGTGAGACTACTTTGGCATGAGTAGACAGAGTGTGAAGATCCAGGCCAGAAGAGTATGAGCGACATAGTCTGGTTCAAGAAGTTGTTTGCTTATGAGCTTGTGGTGTTTTTGTTGCGGGCCATTTTTTGGCATCAATGACAGCCCTGGAGCCCCTAGAACCCCCAAGGCAGGTAGCTTTAGACTGGCTTCCACCTCTCAGCGAGAGGGATGAGCGTGATTGGCGGCAATTTGCGACCTCAAGCGCCTTAGACATGATGCCTTCCTGCCATAGCAAAAAAACATGAATGGGGCAGACACGACATGACAATACTGCGAAATCACACGGTGCGTCCTTCACCTACGCTCTTGGATGCTCCTCAAGTGCACACATGCCACGTGATCCAGATATCAATGTCCACAAAGGTGAGTGCTTTGGACCTGGGCTACTCGAGTTTCATCTCGTCGTCTTCCAATCTGCACTTCCGATGGGCTCTCAGAAGTGCTCCCAACGTCTTACTGCAGTCGGGATAGCTGAAGTTTGAAGAAGCGAAGCCTGAGTCTGTCAATTGATTGCTATTTCTTGAGTCTGTCATACTCCAAATGGTATGGATTCACAGCATTTCCAACCCTGACAGCCCCAACAATGAGTGTCGTCCACGCAAAGACTCCGTGCCTGTTACGGCATTTTACCCTCACTATTTTCCAGGGTGAAGCGCGTTCGATTCAAGTCTATTACCATGGTGTATGGTACTGATTTGCGGTACGAACACTAGGAAACTGCCTGGGATTTGCATCCGAGAGTTCTCCACTGACTTGTGTTGGCAGGACTTTTTCCTGCAGGAACCACCAGTCATTCCCCATTGCACATGTCCCCGGATTACGACACAACTTGTCATCCCACATACGGTTGGTACACATTGGTACCACAACAAGAGCCTGCGAAGAGCAAAAGTAGTGTTCTTTGCGTGTTGTGCTGGAATTTCCTTGGATTCGAGAGGTGCTGCAAATTGAATCAAATGGGGAACAGGGCAGGAGATGCATGCAAATTTTGCAAATGCACAGGGATTCTGGAAACAGAGGACGCGTAAAGTCCAGGGTTCTGGCGCCTTGATGGGTTTTGGAATGCAACATAAGAAGTGTTTGCGTGGGGCCATAGGAGGCTGATTCTTCGCCTCTCATGAAGTCCATCATCCTCCCAGCAGCCCGGATCCACAGAAAGACCCGGGCCAAGCACTCAGACAGGATGTGAATCCATCTCTATGTATATAGTTGTTCTTTGTGGGCACAGCATGAAACAACATCAATGCAAGGTACTGACTCGCCCCATGCCCACCTTCGAAACCAGCGAGCTGTAAATTTCTACGGTCATGGCTGATACGTGTGGGCAAGCGTGACCAAAGTTAGGATTTGAGTGTGAGTGAGTCTTGAGGCTCCTGACAGGTCCTGAGACAAGCTCAGAGTCTCAAGATGTTATTCTTTTTCGCGAACCACATATGATATGTAAACACTTTGTTGATCTTTATTATAATAGGCTAAAGGGGATGGTCATCCACTTTTCATGGTGAACTTCAATGGCCCCAATGCATTCCGCAACGGTCCCGCAGATAAGAAGTTTTGACTACTACGATTGACCATGGCACCTATCTTATGAAAGACATATATATAATTATAATTAATTATATAAATACATGGTCAGCTTTTTTAATTTACAGCAGATCCTCGACAGACGTTGGCCCCACTGAATGATCCCGGGTGTGCGGCATTTGTGGTGTTGGTATTTGCTCAGCCTGGATCCTCACCAGGTCCACCTCACTTGTAGTCGGTCCTTTGAATTATGTGGATGGCACCCTTCTTTTGAGCCACACATGTTTGTGCAAACCGGGCTTTGGCACATGTGCACGTGGCACGAAATCGCCCCAGCTGTCGCAGTTGGCACGCGTCGCTTCGTCGTGGCCTCAAGAATGGGTTGATGCAAGTCCATGCGTGCAGAGCAGCCGTAGATCGATGCCATTGACAACGCTACTAGGGGCTCCTGGCATCGCTATACTAGGAACAAGGACGCT